CTCTCTCTCTCTCTCTCTCTCTCTCTCTCTCTCTCTGTTCTATGTCTCTCTTGCTCTGTCTCTCATTCGTTTGGTTTCTGAACTTTTCTCCATATTTAACACAGGAAGCAAATAATTGCTGAAACTTCTCTTCTAAACTATTATAATTCCGCACACGCGTTTTAAAATAGTGACCAAATCAATACACAGAAAATATAGTATCACATCGGTCTTGCAGAGTAGGGACGCGCACACGCACACACGCACACACCAACAGCAATTTAATCGGGGTAGCAGAACACTTGTTGTCATTATGACTCACTCTACAGGCAGCAGACGTAGCATGCCCGTAACGAGCTTAGGTGTGCAGAATAGCAGCCATCCCTACAAACGGGTAGTTTCCGGTAACGTTTCGCAGCCCGCTGGTCCCACCCGCCCTCCGAAGAAAACGACCTACGACATTTTTTTTGCTACGACCTAACCTCGGTGACATTCTAGCTAGCCCTCACTTACCTAATGTAGGAAGTGTCCAGGATTGCCGTCTTGGCTTTCAGGCTAAAAAAACGGAGAACCAGCTCATTTTGGGAGCAGAAGCAAATTTTTGGCTCGAACCAATTCATAACCTATCTCTGTTTTTAAATTCCGACCCGATTTATCACTGCTTGTTACCGGAAACGTATTTTAGGGACGACTGAGCTAACAGTTAAAACAAAAACGCACAGTTAGCCATGCAAAAATCAGCTACGAAACAAGTGAAGCTCAATAAACAGAGGCCAGCGCATTTCGTTAGCATATATAAGAAACAAACAAAAAGTACAAATTAAAATTACCACCGAATATAGGATCGGAATTCATTTGCACGAAAATAAGTAATGCAATCAGAACAAAAATAACAACGTTAAAATCAACAGAACGCATATATATATAGATATAAACAATGCAAAGCCGCGAGGTGTTCCATCATTCATGCGCTTAACGTGGGTGTTTGTGTGCAGAAAGGCCACGAAAAAAGCCGCTTTTCCAGCCAACGAACACCACGTTACTGACGCACATGATAGATGGGCACTAAATCCAATATCTCCCGACGGCAAAAAATACGGCATGTTAAATACAAATCAAACTAGGTGAAAAAAATCAAGGCCTAGGATACGAGGGATTCAATCGATCATGCGCTGATATCTCTCCACTTCAATCACTCAAGCAACAATAATCTGGAATCAAGATAGGAGCGGCTGGCGGGGAAGATGGGAATTGCATGGACTAAAGGTAGAATTAACATATCAGAGAAGGGAATCATCTAGACATGTGAAATAGATGCGTATGGATGCAGCCAACTGTTCACATCACCAGCACGAAGAGCAGACAACGGACAACAGGGGCGGTGCGTGTGAGGGAGAGACATCACAGGGGAAAGTAGGAAACTAACAACAAGCGAGGCGTGTGAGAGAGAGACATCACAGGGGAAAGTAGGAAACTAACAACAAGCGAGGCGTGTGAGAGAGAGACATCACAGGGGAAAGTAGGAAACTAACAACAAGGGAGGCGTGCAAGGGAGAGACATCACAGGGGAGGGAAAGGCGTCGAATCTAACATGATGGGAGGGGAGATGAGCTGGGCATTAGGTCTGAGAGCAGAAGACCATGACTAATGCACACCGTTGGGGGGAAAGCTGGACATTCGATCTAACCTGAATCGGCCGGCCGGATGGTGGATCGGTCCCGGGAAGCGGCGTTGCGCGGCCGTAAGGTAGGCGGCCGGCAGCGGCAGCATGTTCTTGTTGTTGTTGCTCGGGTTGTTGGCGAACTTGACCGTTATCGGCTCGGTGGCGCCCTCTGGTACGCTGCCGTTCAGCTTCTTGATGGCGAGCTCCGCCTCATTTCGCTGGTCGAATCTGATGAAGCCAACACCTTTTGACAGACCTGCAGAAGAAGCAGGCACTAAGTTGAGGTCTCACACTGTGCATGTGACAATGAAGTAGCAACTCGCGTGTGCGCGTGAGAGAGGGAGAGAGAGAGAGAGAGAGGAAGGGAGAGATAGAGAGAGTTGCCCAGTCCAACAGTGAAGCTTCAGAAAACATTTCATTATACTAAGCAAAGATTTATTATTAAAGTTTCGTTTCTCATATAAACTAGAAAGGGCAGTTGTCGCCAACTAAATGTATCCCCTGTGATCTAGTATGAATGAAATATCTCTGTTAGGACGTAGGTCTAAGGTAGGTAAAGTTAAATAAGTCACAAAGACAAAGGTTTGTTACACAACTCATCTGCCTGAGATGTGCAAGTATGTTAAAATTGGTTGTCTTAGGGGTTTTGATACGCGACACACCTTCTCCCCAAGATGTGCAAGTATACGAAGTTTGCTCGCGCTAGGTCAATTAGGGACCGAGTTATAGAGCAGAAGGGAAATATGATCAAGGTCAAGGTCAAGGTCAATGTCAAATAAAGGTTGGAGTGACCTGGTTTCGGTACGCGACACACCTTCTCCCCAAGATGTGTAAGTATAACAAGTTTGGTTGCGCTAGGTCAATTAGGGGCCGAGTTATAGAGCAGAAGAGAAATATGATCAAGGTCAAGGTCAAGATGAAATAAAAACCGCAGTGACGTGGTTTTGGCACGCGACACACATTCTCCCCAAGATTTGTAAGTATACCAAGTTTGGTCGCGCTAGGTCAATTAGGGGCCGAGTTATAGAGCGGAAGGGAAATATAGTCAAGGTCAAGGTCAAGATCAAATAAAGGTCGCATTGAGCTGGTTTTGGTACGCTGCGCACCTTCTCCCCAAGATGTGTAAGTAGACCATGTTTGGTCACGCTAGGTCAATTAGGGGTCGAGTTATAGAACAGAAGGGAAAGTCTCTGCGGCAGCGCCGAGTGGCGGCGGCGACTGCTGGCCAGACATGAAACCATAGTATCCCCGCCGACTTCGTCACGGGGGATACAATAATTATCAGTCTAATATATCTCACAGAGAGAGAGAGAAAGAGAGAGAGAGAGAAAGTGAGAGAAAGAAAGAACAAAAAAGAGGGAGAGAGACCGAGGAGGGAGGGAGACAGAGGAAGAGAGACAGCAGAAATAATGGAGGAACGAATGGTAAGAGGGAGGGAGGGAGGGAGGGAGGGTAAGAGGGAAGGAGGGATGATAGGGAGGGAGAGAGGGAGGATAAGAGAGAGCAAGAAAGACCATTAGAGGATTTGTCCCAGTGCGATTGACTGTGTGATGCTGTATGTTTCATTTTGCCATCATTGAAGCTTCCTCAAAACAATAATAAATGCCCCAAATATGGGCAAGACATTCTCAAAGCAGGCAAAAAATATATGTATCATTCCTAGCCACTTTATATTCACTATCTAGACAAAATAATTGCAAAAATATCGAATATAATTTTCCAATTGCACACAAACTCGCCTGGTTTGAGTTCCTAGTAGTAGTATCCTCTAAGTGTTGAAATGGCAAATATAATTTGAGAGATTTTATGATAATATATGTATTGAAGCCGCACACTCAGAATGGGAAATGAATACCCTGACAAATATTTATACGCGATTAGATTCATTACTCATCCATATATACATATTGCATATCACACACACACACACACACACACACACACACGCACGCACGCACGCACGCACGCACGCACGCACGCACGCACACACGCACACACGCACGCGTG